CGCCGTTTTTATTATTATATCATTTTTTTATTTTCTAAATAAAACTCCGACTTAGATCCAGCAGCATCCGTTATTCTACTTAGATTACAAGAACATATTAATTAATATATTTATTTAGTTTAATTTATTGTGACCGATTTTTCAATTATAACGAAAAAAAATTTTGATTTTAACATTTACTTATAGCGACATTTATTTTAGACCGTTAAAAATATAATAATTGTTAACATTGAAAATGACCTGATGTGAGTTTGGTAATAAACTTTGTTTGTTTTTAATTATTCAACATGAATACCTTGCTTGGCTCATAGCCTTATTTTTATTTTATTTAATTTTGAAAATCATTTGAGCCTGTTTACTATTTTTCTCACCCGAACTGTGATTATTCGGAATATACGAATACTTGCGACAATTGAATTTGTTCTGTTACTTTTCATTGTACTAATGTCTGAAGAGGGCTCAAACTGGTAGCCGAAACTTGTTACTTGTAATGTATTAGTTTATAGTCTTATTTTTTGGCGTGATGTTTCATCGCGTGTAATATAATATATAATTTTATGTAAAAATTAAAAAATGTGGTTGACTCTTACTTCGCCCGTTGATTGAGTTTTGTTACTATTTTTCATTTTTAATTTACTAATTTCAACGTACAACATATACAGAGTGTCCCGAAGACAATATTATTACAACGTGAAACTTTGTGAAAAATTAAGTAATAAAAGTGCATTCGATTTTTTTCCGCAAATTAGGTTTTTAAGTATAAATACTTATTTAACCAATTCTAAACGTTCGTTCAAAAATCATTCGTCCATGTGACGTGCGTGCAATGGTATTAGATGTCGAATACTTCGCGATCACCGACACGAAACAAAATATTGCCACTATACTGTAGGATTGATTAAACTTTAAACATTTATACTTAAAAAACTACTTTGCGGAGAAAAATGGAATGCACTTTCATTGCTTAATTTTTTAGAAGTTTCACGCTGTAATAATATTGTTCTCGAATTTTACAGAGGATACCCTGTATAATGTTTTCATGATATACGACTAATTTTATTTACGTTGGCATGTATGCGTGTAATTATTTAGA